GCATTTGAATGTTTGTCAGTTGGAGTTTGAAGAGTCTTGGCTCATCTGAACATTCTGTCAATGTAAATCTATGGGATTTTTCCGAGTTTAATCATAATTTTTAGGAAAATCATAAGTTGGATCAGTCTGAAAAGATATAGCAACTAACTTCTCAAGGTTTGACCCGAGTTTGGTGGTTCTAGCTTCAAAGCTCTAGGAGGAGATACAGTCTAAATTTTGGCTCAGAAGAAGAAGTGTATATAGTAGATCAGTAAGTTAGGTTTTTCAAGCCAACTTAATAAGTTTAAATAGCAGATCAGTAATTTGGCTTTCTCAAACCAACTTAATAAACTTAAATAGCAGATCAGCCATCTAACGGATCTCGCTAAACTTCTTTTTTTTTATTTTCTGTTTTCCCACAAAGGTGTGTCCCTGACTTTGTATTTGCCTGCCTCAAACTTCAAACACAGCAACACTCTGCATCTATATATCAGCCAAATGCACCATCATGATTGGCTTCCCAATATGTCATTCCAGATGAGAACAGGCCTCCAACGAATGAGCGATCATGGGAAATGCCATTCAGCTAACGATGCCACAAAAGGGAATCCCTGTTCAAAAGATAGAGTATCACAAAATGCAAGTACAAATCTCCAGATCATAGCTGAACTGGTGCATTTGAAATAAAGTTTCATAGTCGCATTGAAAACTCAATGCGAGGGTAAAATTAATGATTGATGGTTCATTCAGGTGTGGTGAACAGCACATTCCAGGGCCCAGTTTATGGCGGGTCCCCTCTCTGACCATAACGGTGGACAAAGGTTTGCTACAACTTGATTGGATCTTGGTGGATTAACACAAAAAAACTGTCCAATGCCATCAGATAAAAATGCTAGGACAATGGCCAGACACCTCTTAAAGGATTAGGTCACTTCCAGAATAAAAAATTTCCTGATAATTTACTCACCCCCATGTCATCCAAGATGTTCATGTCTTTCTGTCTTCAGTCGCAAAGAAATTAAGGTTTCTGAGGAAAACATTCCAGGATTTTTCTCCATATAATCGACTTAAATAGTGGCCAATGGGTTGAAGGTCCAAACTGCAGTTTCAATGCTGCTTCAAAGGGCTCTACACAAAGTGAACTAATCCTTTAAGTGGGCAAAGAGAAAACCTCTGGTACCAAGCCCAGGAAAGACAGGACTTCTCATTGGTCCACATGCAGTTTCTGCCTTTCACCCATCTACAGACTAATTCCTAGGGGTTTGGCCTGTGACCACCATAAAACTTACTTAGGACCTCTGGGTGCAGCAGCAGTGGGTGAAGCAAAGAAAGCTCACAAAGGCTATGTTCAGACTGCAGGCAAATCCGATTTTTTTTCTCAAATCAGATCTTTCAGAAAGACTGTCCACACTATTAATTGCAGGTGACTAAATCCAATTTGTTTGTCCAGACATAACCAATAACTGCATGGGTTGCAATGCAGGCATTCACAGTTCACAGAGAAGTGTATATACCACCTGAGGACCGGCTTTCAGTCAGTAGAGTGTTCGGTGTCGGACTGGGAAAAGCTGGCGATTTATCAGAGTTTGATAAAGGACATATTGTGATGGCACGGCACCTCGGAACTTCGATCTCAGAAACGGCACACCTTGTGGGTTGTTCACGTGACGTTATAGTGAGTATGTATCAAAAGTGGTGCACGGATGGCCAAACGACGAAACACACTGCCAGTATTGTCAAGGAGCAGTTCGAGGAACATGATGGTGAATTTCTGTGAATGCCTCGGCCTCCAAATCCAACATTTGTGGTTCAACTTGGAAAAGCGGGTTCGCACTACATCACCACCACCCTGCAATGTACGGGATCTGGAGGACCTGCTGTTGACATTATGGTACCAGATACCCCAGGATGCATATCGCCACCTCGTCAAATTAATACCTCGCTCCATGGCCACTGTTTTTTGGGCTAAAGGAGGTCCTACAGGTTATTAGATAGGTGGTCATAATGTAATGGCTCATTTGTGTATTTGTTTGATGCATAATAAGGTTCTTCATCTTATGAGATTTAGAGAAGCAGCAGTTTATCTTTCTATAACGTAACTCTGCCATAGCAACACCCAATTTAATCTCTTGCATTATATGCAACTTATGTACTTCAGTCCTTTTTCATTCATGGTATTCATTTAGTAGTTATTGATTATTCTTGCTTATATTTCGGTAATACATTTTATTTTATTACACCTGTGTCTTGCTTGTGTTGATAATACAGTAAGAGGCTCTACAAGTTAGCAATATCTCACCAATGTGTCACATAAATCTGTAAACCAACTCCCATCAGTTTAATTCTAAATGACTGAACAGCCCCTGTTGGGGTCATCTTATGTACTCATAACCGCACCTTAAGGGACACATGATCTAAAATCACAATGTCATCTGTGACTTAAGTACCCATCACTACACAGGTCTAAAAATTTGAATATATTGCTAGAATATTGGGATTTCAAATTTTCACTTTCCTAAGAGTCATTCTTTCCTCACTTACTTTCTTTCTGCAACTCAGAGTCAGTGTGTGTTTATGTGTTAGATTAGTTTCTGTGTATTATAATAATTAAATCTCATTTGTACATAAAAAGAAGTACCTTGTGTTTTGTGCTTGCAAGTTAATGTTTTAAACTGATGAGATTGTTAACGTGCTAATAAATGTGACCTGTGCTGGCAAAATGAGTCACAATGAGCAATTTTTTTCAAAAATGACATTTTTTCTTTAAAGGGGTCATATGATGTTGCTAAAAAGAACATTATTTTGTGTATTTGGTGTAATGAAATGTGTTTATGCGGTTTAAGGTTAAAAAAACATTATTTTCCACATACAGTACATTATAGTTTCTCCTCTATGCCTTTCTGAAACGCGTCGATTTTTACAAAACTCATCGGTCTGAAAAACGAGGTGTGCTCTGATTGGCCAGCTATCCAATGCGTTGTGATTGGCCGAAATTTGGGTTAAACTGTTCTGGAACAGTGTTGTAAATACAACTTAACCACTGATTTCTAGTTGTGTCCTCTTTTGGAAGGCCAAACAAAGTAGTTTCGCTTTCTGGCCGGCGGCCTAGAGTGAGCGGAGGCCGGCGGGGCTAGAGTGAGCGGCGGCAGAGCTAGAGTGAGAGGAGGCCGGCGGGGCTAGAGTGAGCGGCGGCCGGCGGGCTTGCGGCAACCACTATCACATTCTCCATTAAAAGACCTTCAAAATGATGAATGATTTGTTGGAATCAGATGAAAAATGACTGAGCTACACCTGTTTAAAATCGATAGAGTCAGCAAAGTCAACTTTGAGAAAAATCGAGTTAAAGTATTCTGAAGGTTTCAAAGCAAAATCACAGAGCAGCGTTGCATCTTGTCCTACACTTCTTTTCTTAATAATTTCTATATTAATAGTCACAATATAGCTATTTTTATTTTATCTTTGTTATTATAAATAAGAACAGATGCAAAAAAAAAAAAAACAGTAGAACACATAAAAAAAACAGTGCATTAGGCTACCTTTTTCATTTTACATCTAAACAAAAAGCATTTAAGAAAAACAAAATAATTAAATGTAAAAATCGTACTCGGTTACTGACGTAACCTCGGTTCGCTGAGATATGGGAATGAGTACTGCGTCTCGCTTAAGACGCATATGGGAAAAAAGCCTTTTTTCTCCTGAACTGAAGCCTTTTCATTCACGCAGTGAAACTGCACGGCCATTGGTTCGTGCAGTGCTTAAAAAACGAACCAATGGCGACGAAGCCTGCCAAAGCCCGCCAGAATGGGGCGCTCGCCACAGGATTCTCAGGTTTACTTCGACTGAAGCGACGACTGAGTCGTGCAGCTACATAGCGAGGTCCCCTATTCGCTTTACTGATGCCTGTGCTAGAAGCAGGGCAGTCTTCAGCGATAGCGACCTAATGTTGGCAGACTGTAGCGGCTCGAAAGCGGAACGACACTTATCCAGCAGCTCTTGTAGAAATGGCAACACCTCTGCCAATTCGGAAGTGAGGGGGTTTAGACACCAGGCAGAGAAAAAAGACCACTTTAAGCCATAGAGGCGTCTCGTAGACGGAGCTCTAGCCTCCAAAATTGTGTTTAAGACTCGCTCTGGGAGGCACGAAGGCTCCCGTCGAGCGGCCAGAGGTGCAGGGTCCATAGGTCGGGCCGAGGATGCCATAATGTCCCGTTCGCTTGAGAGAGGAGATCCTGTCTCAGTGGAACAGGCCAAGGGGCCGCTATCAGTAGCTGAGTCAGCTCCGATAGCCACAGCTGGTTCATCCAAAGGGGGGCCACCAGGAGAACCCTGTGTTCTTGTTCCCTCACTCGCCTGATTACCTGTGGGATCAGAGCGATCGGGGGGAAAGCATAGAGAAGGAGGTTGGGCCAATCGTGGGCCAACGTGTCCCTGGTCTTTGAGAAATAAATTGGGCAGTGAGAGTTGTCTTCTGAGGCGAAGAGGTCCACTATCGGGGTCGCGCACAGTTGGAAGCACCTTTATGTTCGGATGACACGAGCGGAGAAAAGGTACTCCTCTCAGAAAACATACAAATAAAGATCATTTTAGATGTGTTATTACTATTTGGAGCATTGGGATCACTAGACGAGGGCCTCAAAATCGACATTTTTCACTTTTTTTGTCTGTAGCTCAAAATTAGCCCGTGTGCATTCCGACTCATTTTGCCAGCATGGGTCACAAATAGTGTTTTCACCATACTTTAGATATTAATATCCATTGCAGAGTTGATATACTGATATACGTTCAGCCATACTGATCGCTGGATGATTCATTTGATCAGCTGTAAAACAGTGATTCTCTCAAAATTATTGTCTGTGATAACTGCAAAAAAAAGGTTGTCAACAGAGCTTAATAATTAATACTACTCTTAGTATTACACTTGCTAAAAACAGCACTATTTTTATACAGTAAAGGTTTGTGTGAAGTACAAGGAATGACTGTAATGGACAGGGCCTAAATGAAATAGTGTCCTAATTACTTACATGCAGCAGGAGTCGGGCCTCCATGGCTTCCTTACAGGTGATGAAATATGGCTTCATTAGCAATATATCCTGACGTAATTTCTGAAGTACAAGAATGATAAAAACATTACCTTAGATTGCATTCTATAGAATGCTGTTTCAGCCAATGCACTGTTCAGATTAAAACGCTTTACCAAAAAAAAAAAAAAAAAAAGGTTTACACTGTCACAATTTAAAAAAAGTTACCTGTTTTTTTTTTAATGAATTTATCTATCACTTCTATAGACTGTCATTGTTGCATTACTGAACTGTTGGTTGCAATCAAGAAAGTCAAAACCTCAGAACTGAACAGGTGAAAATCATTATTTTACTTTTAATAATAAATACTTTGAATAATAAATAATTTTATTTTACATTATTTGCTTTTTTTGATACTTACTCTGATCTCCACTAGCTCCTCCACAAAGTTGAAGAGAAGAGGATTGATCTCCTTCAGTTTGAGCACAGGCCTGGACATCATCAGAGCAAGATAGCGCATTGATGTACGACACACCTGAACACATCAATACACACACCACAATCAGAGTCTTATGTCATGAGTTACTATCAAACTGAAAATTATATACAGTATATGGTAACACTTTAGTTTAAGGACCAATTCTCACTATTAACTAGATGATATATATATATATATATATATATATATATATATGTGTGTGTTTGTGTGTGTGTGTGTGTATAGCTGCAATCAAAATTACTAGGGACTGTAATAATTTATAAAAGTGAGCTTTACTGAAGATTCAGAGGGAAAACTGCATCTATAACAGTTTAGTGGAATATTAAAGGTGATAATGTAAATTGACATGAGATGCACTGATTGACCAGCCAGGTACCAGAATCAGCCGATTTTCCATATAATCGACCCAGACCGGTGACCAGCTGGTGAGTCTCACGATTAAACCTAGTTCACACTACGCAACTTAAAACATCGGCAGATCGCTGTGCTGTTCAGACTACATGACTTGATTGTCTGTCTTGAAGTCGTTATGGTGTTCACACTACGCGACACTACGTAAATGATTCACAACGGGTGGTCACACACTACACGAGCTGACAATAACTCTGTCACCCAATGACTCTACACGGTCCCCAAACCATGTTTTGTCACGAAAACACACGCGAGAAGTTGAACGGGAATGACACGAAACAACAAGTGAAACACGAGTTCTTTATTTGAAAATGGACATCGGGAAGAAATTAGTGCTGCAAGCTGTTTGCATGATGATCTGTTCTGAAAAAAATTTGCTCCATTTCTTGTGTCCAATCTTTTCTTAAAGCCATGTTGCTGCTGCTGTTTTTCTTCTGCTGACCTCAACCCATGCCTTGCTTCCTCATATAGCTCATCGAGACACCTGACATCACGTGATGTCGAGTCGGCCGACCGGTCCAGATATTTAGCATGCTAGATATTCGTTTGGCGTTGGCGAGGCGTCAGCGAGCCTCTTTGATTATTTCACACATTTCACATTTCATATTTCACATTATTTCATGCGTTGATTATTTCACACATAAAGATTGCCGAGCACTGATCACCCACCGATTTTCCCCCGATGACAGCCCGACCTGTCAGCGAGCTCGATAACTTGCTAATCGGGCTTAAAATCCTGTAGTGTGAACTAGGCATTACCGATTCCGAGCTGGTCCGCTTTGACGTTACAGCTACGCTCACAACCGCATGTAAACATGTAATTGTGTGAAAGTTCTTCACTGTGAGTGAGGATGACACAAAGTTTGCAATTTATAATACGTGTAGGGCCAAAGTAAACCATGGGGGAACCACAGGGCTTGATTAACACTTGTCTGGGACAAATCAATTTTTAAAAGGAAGAATGATTCTGATTTTACTGCATTTAGTGTAAACGGCAACTGATAATGTATTGATGTCATGCAAGATGAGGCTCGCACAGCCTGAGTGAGAGACTCAGAAATCAAAACAATTGAGCGCAACAGCACACACAAAGTATCTTACAGGAAGTTATAGATGCATTCTGCCGTAGCAAAAAAAATACATATATGATATAGGTTAGCAACATTACAAGACCAAGATGTTTCCCCGAATATCAGCACGATTGCAATGTGACACTATACAATAATAGTTCAATAAACAAGAAGTTAAAATGAGTGACTTACATTTTAGACACAATATTGACCGTTTTTGCTCAATTTCCAATTAAAGTTCCAATAGTTCCAATCAAAGCCACAACAGAACTGTTGTGTGTCTCTGAGCAACACACACTGGCATTTCATTACTGAATGAATCCACGTTTTTGAATGAATCGAGTGAGTCAATGATTCAGTAACCCATTCATAAAGAGAGTCAGCTGCCTCGTTTCTGCATGAATCAGTCGTTTGAACGAATTGGTTAAATGAATGACTAAATGACTCACTAATTTAAAAAAGTTATTTAGTTGGTGGTTTGTTTTTATAATTAAAAGTATCATTGCATTTTCCCCATACATTTCTTATTTGTATGTTCGAAAAAAAATATTTAAAACATTAATCTTATAACATTATTTATTATATAATTTTGTGGTGTAAATGCATTTATGGCACCTCAGCTTCATTAAACAGTCTGTGTAAATACATCTAATGTCACTTCAGATGCAGCTTCTGTCTCCTCTGTAGTGGAAAGATGGAGTTTGTTGATACTGATTTCATTTGAATAGTAACAACTCTACAGTTTCTAACTGAATTAATTGAAACAATGTAAGAATTTGCTGTGAAAGATGACATACATTTAATAAGGTTAGGAAAAAATGCCCATTTATAAACATAGTGGGAAACGACATCTGTTTTGTTATATCCAGCAACTCAATTCTACTTCTTTACAGTCACAGAGCACTTTATTTTGAGAGTTGTTTAAGTGAGAGAACATCTGTAACTTAGTCTAGATTGGGGAATTGTAATGCTTAATCATCTTAATCTTTTATTATGCAATAATCTTTTATTATGCAATTACAAGACACCATCCCCCAGCACTGTGGAGAATCAACAACTGGCCGATGATTTAAATGAATTTTATTGCAAGTTTGAAAAACGTACTCGGTTACTAACGTAACCTCGGTTCCCTGAGATACGGGAATGAGTACTGCGTCTGCTAAGACGCTATGGGAAAAAGCTTTTTTCTCCTGAACTGAAGCCTTTTTTTAATCACGCAGTTAAACTGCATGGCCATTGGTTTGTGCAGTGTAAAAAAAAAACGAACCAATGGCTCGGCAGCGGAGCTTGGGCGGGGTATCTGGCTATATAAGCGGGCGTTCGCCACAGGATTCTCAGGTTACTTCGACTGAAGCGACGACTGAGTCGTGCGGCTACATAGCATGGCTAGCAACGCAGTACTCGTTCCCGTATCTCAGGGAACCGAGGTTACGTTAGTAACCGAGTACATTCCCTTTCGATACTACACTCATACTGTGTCTGCTAAGACGCTATGGGAACACAGTACAATCACATCGTGCTAATGTAGTGGAATGACTAAAAGTATCATAACTTCCATAAGCAACCAATGCCCATAGCGAAGTTAACAACAACACAAGGCTAAGACGGGCTGAGCTTCCTGAGGTCACACCCGGCCTGGTTAATCGTTCCAGAGTACTCCTGTAAATTCGACACCCAGGGGTCGAGAGCTAACAGGTGAAGTAATGCCAGAGAACTTGAGCGTGATACGGCCAAGGGCTCTCTGCCAGATCTGTGTCTACACCAGACACCAAGCGGAGACCACTTAAGGGCGTAGAGGCGTCTCGTAGACGGGGCTCTAGCCTCCGAAATTGTGTTCAAGACACGCTCTGGGAGGCTCGAAGGCTCCCGTCGAGCGGCCAGAGGTGCAGGGCCCACAGATCGGGCCGAGGATGCCATATTGTCCCGTTCGCTTGAGAGAGGAGATCCCATCTCAACGGAATGGGCCAAGGGGCCGCTACCAACAGCTGGCCACCAGGAGAACCTTGTGTTTTTGTTTCCTCACTCGCCTGATTACCTATGGGATCAGGGCGATTGGAGAAAGTCAGTATGCCCTTGCACAGCGCCCGCCAACCTGAGTTGGAGGTGTCTGTCGTGACAACTGTCCTTCTGCAAACCATCCCCATGGTCACACCCTGTTCCATTCAGCGGGAGCTCTTCCAGGGGGCCAGGGCTGTTACACAGGCCTGACTCCCCCTGATCTGCAGGCGTCCGTGACGCCACGCATGGGATGGACCAGCCTCTGTATGGCCAGAGCCGGCAGGACAACAGCTCTCAATTGGGCTGAGTCGAAAATTGTTCCCAGGAACGATATTCACTGGCTGGGGAAGAACGCGTTCTTGGCAAAATTGACATTGACCCTGAGTCCCAGGCACTCCAGGTGGCTGAGGAGGAGGGTTCTGTGTGATATTAGCTCTGCCTCCGACTGGGCCAGAACGAGCCAGTCGTCGAGGTAGTTGAGAATGCGG